CCTGCAAATTCCAGAAGAACCTCGGTCTGAGGAGAATTCCTGGTCTAATCAGCCTAATCCCAGCTCTGCAACTCACTCCTGGCTTTGCATCTGGATCGTGCTCAAATTTAAGCTCCTTTTAGGCAGCTTTTCCTGGTTAGTTCTATTTGTTTTGCACCTGAAAGAGCAGCAGTTATAAAGTGAGTAATGCCACAGCCTGGGAAAAGAGCTGAGACTGAGAAATATTGTCACCAGCTTCGAGAAACAAGAGGGAGAAAGCAGAGCTTAGATGTGCAGGGACACAGATCTGCCTTCTCTGATCCCTTCTGTTCCTGAATGACCCATCCTCGGTTCCAAAAGGGAGGTGAAAATCTGCCAGGGGATGGAACAAGGCTCGGGGAATTCACTGCTCCTCACAACTGACACAATTAACTGTCTAGCCGTTGTGAAATGCTCGGTTTGTGACACATTTAATGGTGGGGTATCACCTTGAATTTGGAATTGGCTGTGCCTGATCCAGCCGTGCACATTCCCCGTGCTTTTGCAGTTCCCCAGCCTGCAGAGTTTTCACTGACTTAATTACCTGCCTTGCTGCAGAATTAACCAAGCTCCTGAACTGGTCTGACTGGGTGTGGGGTCTGTGACTCCTGCAGCCAACAATGCAATCATCACAATCTGTTATTTGCATTACAAACAGCAGCAAGTGGAGCCCCAGCAGCTGGAGCCACATTCCTTCTGGAGTTCCATCCCTTATCTGGCTCCATCTCCCATCCGAGTTGTTCAGTGGTGATTTACAGCCCCACTGCAGGTGTGATACCACCCCAGATAACCTGGCTGCTGGTGCTGGTTGTTCTGGAGCCACATGCCAGCTGTTTTACCTCGAACCTTGTGAAGAATTGGGCAATTTTTGTCCTTTCCAGGAACACTGGTGTGTGTCCTGTAGGTTCTCTGTCCTGCCAGGCCTCACTGTGTCCTCACCAGGAGGAGGGACAGGGCAGGAAGAGGTTTTTCACCTGAACTTTCTGCTTCTATTATTTTCCAGCCTTCAGATTTTAATCAGACAGATAAATGACTTATCACAGGGTGTAGGTGTGGGGCACAGATGTTTCAGGCACTTTCACCTTGGTCTTCTCAGGAAATGAGGCTCATTTCCTTTCATTCCCTCTATCTCTCCATGCATCCCATACTTTTCAGCCCTGGACCATTTTCATTCAAGCTGGGAAAAGAAATTCTGGTCTCAAAGACATGAATTTGGTCAAAAGAGATGACCGAGAAGACAAAAGCAGCTTTATTATGTAGTTATACCAACCCAAACCATACCAGACAGCAGAGGAGCCACACAGAAGACAATCAAATTTATATGGGTTTGTATCTTAGGAGGCATCAGAAAATCCCATTAGAAGGCATGAAATAATAGAGGGGGGGAAAAGCTTATGGAACTAATCTTCTAAATTTTATATAAACCCAAATTTCCCGCTTTTGCATATGGGGAACCTTGGTGAACTGAAAAAGGGAGGTGGGTGATTTCCTTCAGTGCAGCGGTAATTTGAATATTCCTGCTTTGTTTGGTTAATTTTCCCTTGCTGGGGAAATTGCTGTGTCACCTTTATATGGTTGTGTTTGAATTTGCTTGGCAAGGAAACCACGGTGAGAAGCATTAAAAACAGATTTTGACATTTAATTGTGTGGGCAACAGGATCAAGAGACCTGAAAACAAGGGATCAGCCCCTGTGGGACAGAGTGGTACTGGGAGGGGCTCATTCCTGCTCTTCAGAGTAAGATCTTTTGCCAAAAAATGCTTTCAAAATGTGCTTTCTTCATGTACCTGCAGTCATCCATCAAAGGCAGAGTATGGTTTTGTCTGGAGGGGTTTGTTGGTTTATTTTTCTTTTAATTTTGAAGAGAATTTCTGGTGGTTTTTTTTTTCTCTCTGTGTGAAGAAGTATCTTAAACTGCCTTAAAAGGCAGGGATTTCAGGCGGTTTTTGTGTTCTGAGTGAAGCCATGCACACCTCATTATGCATTGTGAAAGGTATTAAAGGGTTCTTATCTCCCCTCGGGATTTTTGCCGGGAAAAGCAGCGGGAACAGCTCAGGAAGCAGGAACAGAGGACGCCTGGGGGGCTCCACACACCACGGAGTGACTTTGGGAATGGATCCTGCTTTTCCCAACCCCACCTGCACTATAACCCACCTCTTTCTCAACGGTCTCAGCTCTCAGGTAAAACTTTTGGGTACTCTTAGAGCTGAACAAACCCAGGCAAGTCCCACTTGCCCAGTTTCAACTGGGGGAACTTGTTATTGGAAGAACTGGTGGAGAATTGCTGGAAATAATGAAATGGTTTGATACTTGGGAGCGATAACCTGAGTTTTGCTGGCTTTTATGCAGATGTTTTTGGAGAGGAGTCAGAGGGCAGAGGAGACAGCCCTGCCTTGTGCTGCCCTGGGATTTGGGGCTCTGCCACAACATCTTGCTGAAGGATTCAGAAGAGGCTGACCCACCTCATAGGGAAGGTGAGGAGCATAAAGTAAAGATGCTGGCCCACCAGGAGGGAAGTGTCATCTACAACATTTTCCTGCCCTAAAACCCAAAAAAACTCCTTGTCCCACCCCAGCCCTCCACACTCCATTGAAATACTCAGCTGAGAAAGTCAAGTTGAAAGCAGAAACTCTTAAAATCCTGCAGCAGAGCCCCAGGGCAGTCATGTTTCACATTTGATGAGCCCATTCTCATCTGGACCTTCCATGATGTAGGAGTTGGTCCAGCTCAGGAGACACACCCGGGGCAGACCCTCTGCAGGAGAGAGGTTGGATGTGGGGCAGCCATTTATCATTTCTGAATTTTCTGTGGAAAATTGGACAGTTCTTAAACAGAAAATTTTCTTGAAAAGCCATGGGGGAAAACCAAAATTTTGAGGGAGCAGGTCAGTGTTTGCTCATGGGTGAGCTCAGGATGTGTTTGGTAAGGAAGAGAGGAAAGGTGAGGCCCAGGTACCTCAGACATTGCTTGTGGCACATTATCCCAAAACGAAGCTGACTCATATTTGGAAATGATTTGGCTGCAGGCAGATAGTTTAGAACATCATCTATTATAGTTTAGAACAGCATTTATTATGCAGATTTCTACCTACTTTACTTGTCCAATTAGATCATTAAAATGCCTCGAGCGTCTGTGGCTTGGTTTTGTTTTTGTAGCACTTTTTTGAGGAAAGCTCAGCACCTTTTCCTCACAAAAATCTTGGCCACGTGTTCTCTCCACCCCGGATGAGGATGATGGAGGTGTGGGAGATACCTGGAGCTGTTTGAAAGTGATGCCAATCAAAGGTTGCAAAAGGAGGTGGTGGCTTCAGCAGAGACTTTCCTGTGACATATTAATTGAGCTGCATTTTTGTGGCCACTTAACTCTCTGTCACCAGATTTTTGCATAGACATTAAACTGCCCCTTTGCAGGAACTTTGGCAGCCTCAAATCCCATTTAGGCAGCCTAAAATCCCACAGAGGCAGGGGTGTTTTGGGGGATTCAGGATTAGGGGAGGCACTAATCAGGAGTTTTTTTGCTAAACGTCGTTTCAGCCTCGTGTGTCCCTCCCTGCCCACAGTTCCACGACTCGGGCTCGGCACAAATTATCAAATTACTGGTGCCCCTGTTGCATAATTCCCAGTGCTGTGGCCAGAGGAGCTCTCAGCAGTGGTGGAGGAGGGCGGGGTGAGGAGGATTCTCTGTAATTGAGGATCAAAGCTCCTGGTTTCTGCCTCTCCATCCACAGAGGAGCAGCTCAGCTCCAAAGGGCAACAAGTGCTGGGAAGCATCTCCCACCTGGACGTGTTGTTGTCACCGGGGACGAGTGAAGAGGTGAGTTCTGCTGCTTAAAATATCGATTTTTTTTGGAGGAAAAGTCTTTCCTCAGAGCATCTTTGTGATGCATTTAATGATAAGAGGCTCAAGTGTAACCTGGATTTAGTAAAACCTGCCTGCAAAGGGCATGGATAGAGAGAGGCTATTGCTACAAGTAGTTATAGTTTTTAACTACAGGAGCATTAATTTATCTCACCTGTCAGGAGGAAAAGAGGTGGGGGAAGTTACGGGAGCAAAATGCAAAAAGGTGACACGAAATATCTCTAAAAACTTTGGGAAGTGGCTTTTGTTCCATGGAGTTAGATGTTTTTAATTCCTGAGGAATAAGTTTCTTTCCACAGATCTTGACACCACCAGGAGTTCCTTCCTTTCCAGTCAAACAGTGGGGAATCCCAGTTTTTGGGTTGTCTCCTCTTAGTTACCAAATGACAGGAACCACCAATAACTGAAATAGCCCTTTTTTCCCTTTCCCTCTCCAGTTTTGTGTTCTAAATACATAATGTAACACTCAGTAGTTATTAGCATTGATTTGAACGCAAAGCTTTAAAAAAAGTGTTTATTATTTCTTATTTCACATATTTATATATATTATTATATATTATATATTTACATATCTATATATTATTTTTATATATTACATATTTATTAATTATTATTATAATTTATTGTTCACTCTGGCAACAGATCAATTTAAACTTTGCTGCAGAAAAAGCTGGATAACATGTATATAGTTTCCTTTTATTTTATATATATTTTTAGATATATTATATATATTTTTTATATCTATTTATATAGTTCTGTATGGGTGGTGTTCTGCATATTCCCAGTTTGCACCTGGGAATTCCAGCAGCAATGAGGCATAAGACCTAAAATCCAGTGTGCAGGAGTAGAAATCAAAGTTCTATATCCAAATCCATGAGTGGAGAGGGAGAGAGGGATTGAAGTGCTTTTGGAATTAAGCTGCTCCAGCAGAGTCTTGAGCAACCCAGTGCAAGGCAAAATTAGGAAAGAGTTTGGCCTGGGGACTGGTATTGCCACAACTATTGGGCAACTGATTTATGGGAAAAAAGAGATATTGTGGTGGATGGTGGTGATGGAAGGGTTGGATTCCCACCAGCTCTCCTCTGTTTAGCAGGGAAGGCTTTTGGGAGCAGCAGGAAGCTGGGGATGGACGTGAAGAGCACCAAGAACTTTGTGTTCTGGCTGTTCTGCCAGTTCGAGCTGATCACCTGCAGTTACCTCATGGAGCCCTGGGAGAAGGTTCTCTTCTACTCCTTCAACCTCTCCATGGTGGGGATGTTGTTCTACACCACCTACGTCTGCGTCGCTGCCCAGCTCAGCCCAGCCCTCCAGTTCCTCTGGCATTTGCTTGGAAACCAGCAGGAAAACGCTGTTTCTGCTGTGAAGTAACATCCTCAACCTGCCTTTTGGATCAAAGGGGTGTTTTCTTAACGCTCTGTTTTGTTTAGAAACAAACTGTGTGCAAGCACTGCTTTATCCTGCAGCAGCACTGCTTTATCCTGCAGCAGCATCTCCTCCTGTTCTTGATTCCAGGGCTCTCTGACAGCCAATTATTTTGCCCAAACAACTCCAATCAATCCTTTTTTTTTTTTTTTTTTTTTTTTTAAACCATTTGCTTCTTAAAAGAGCTTTTAATTTTCAAGACTGGCTGGAGTTCCAGGGCTGGGTTTTGTACAGAAACAACCCCTGTTGTGTATTTTGTTATTCCAGGCAGAGCTGCTCGGATGTGGAGAGTTCTCATCTTGACAAATTCCGTGGAATAAATTTGCTCCTGTTTGCCAGAGATGTGGACATACCACTGGCTGGGTGGGACATTGATTTATAGAATGATTTCAGTATTTATTTAGTCACCTGGATTATCTAATACAATGAATTACTCGACTGGCTGATCATCGTTCTGCAAATCCTGCAGTTGATTTGTTAAAAGTTAAAAAAATTTTCTATGAAAATTTATAATAAAATTCTCGTATTCCTAGACTTTCTAAAGCCAGAGTATTTTTGTTTTGCTTTTAAAAGACTTATAAACCATGTATATCATATACAGAGCACAGAACTACAGATTCACTGGTGGGAGGGTGGGAGCTGCTTCTCTAAGCTTGGGGCATGTGTATTTATAGGGTGATTTTGGTATTTATTTAGTCACCTGGATTATCTAATACAATGAATTACTCGACTGGCTGATCATCGTTCTGCAAATCCCGCAGCTGATTTGTTAAAAGTTAAAAAAAATTTTCTACGAAAATTTATAATAAAGTTCTTGTATTCCTGGACTTCCTAAAGCCAGAGCATTTTTGTTTTGCTTTTAGAAGACTGATAAACTGTGTATGTCATGCACAGAACACAGAACTACAGATTCACTGGTGGGAGGGGTTTCAGTTGAAAATAAAACCCTACTTAAAATACAAGTCTCCTTTTTTCTTAAAAGGAAAAGTCTCTTATTCCCCTCTTTCACCTCCTCTTTTACTCTCCTGTAGTGTTTGAAACATGAACTCCTGAGCCCTCAGACTGTCCCTGCTGTGCTGGGTTTGGCTGCAACTGGTTTTGTTCCAAATTCCATATTTTTTAAGCCGTAGAAACACAAGATTCCTGTGCTGTGGCTTCCTCCAGTGGACGTGGGTGGGAGCCTGGGAGCCTTGGCACCTGGAATCAGGGTTTGGAATCACCCCAGGAGAAGAAGAGAGCAGAGGAAGACACATAGGGAAACACAAATCCAACTTCTCCCACCCACTCTGAGTTTTGTCACTTCTTTGGAGCACAGGGATGCTCCTGGAATGTCCTGCAGGAGACTGGGATGTTGTCAGTGGGTGGCAGTCAAATGACTTCATAGGCGGTGACAAAACCAAGTGAAGACACTAATTATGTTATTTGTCATCTCAATATGAGATTCAGTTGCTCTCCCAGTTTGTAATTAGGGGAAAATAAGACAGGATATGAAAATAATTTATTTGGGAGAATGAGGGCAGCTGTGCTTAAATTCACAACTCTTTTGACAGTACCCAAATAATCTCTGTGTTTGTAAAAAAAAAAAATCTATTTAAATCCTTTCAGATTCAAGTCCAACTGTATGTTTTATCAAACTAATAAATTGATAAAGTAGTAACTAGCTTGGATTAGCTCCTAGCAGCTTTCATGCTCAGTATGTACGTTATATTTACTGCTGTTTATTAATGCACACTGTATTTACTGATATTCATTCATATAAATTGTATTTACTGATGTTTAGGAAGACAATAGGGAACACACAGTATTTTAGTTATGTCAATTATTAGCCTGTTTATGGAGACAAGGATTTTATTTCCAAACTGTGAGTTTATAGCAGATAAAGAAGGACAGTATTTTGCATTAAATGTGCTGGAGGGACGTGCCCTGTGTGCCTGGCAAGGAGCTCAGTGCACAGATCACCAGAGCTGTGTTTACAGTCAATTATAGTGAAGGCTGCACACGTACATCCAGAGGATTTATCAACATGAAGGAATCTGACACCGGGCTGGAGGAGCAGGAACTCTCACCCTGGGTGTGCTTTTGTTTATTGTTGCCCTTTCCAGGTCTCCCCAGTGCAAATTCCTGGCATTGCCTCGAGTGCCTGGTGCCTCTTTTGCAACGGCCTGGATTCCATGTGGCCATCCCTGGGCTCCTGACAGTCTGCTCCTGTCATTCCAGGATCATTCCAGGATCATTCCAGGGTCATTCCAGCTCTCTGTGCTGTTCCACAGCCCCGAAGGTCCCAGCTGGGCTGGGTGAGTGGGATATGCAGCCAGGAAGGCACCAAAACCCAGCAAAGGAAACCAGGGGCTGAGCGGCAGCTGAACCTCCTCAACTTCTTGATTAATTTTACTCCTCACACTCTTGTCCTGACAGTCACTGATCTACACAATTTCCAGGATTAAATACAGGGTTTAGATATCCCATTCCAATTCCTCCTGGCTGTTTTGCTGTTTCGGTTTCCAAACGCTGACCTGCCCGGGCAGGTTCCTGCTGGAAGCAGTGCCTGAGGTGCAGATTTGGGAGAAGGGTTTGGATTCGTAATGTCAGGCCTGTGTCTGCTCATCTCCTGGCAGTTTGATCAGGGTCAGGCACCCAGGGAATGGCTGGAGCTGTGCCAGGGAGGTTTAGGTTGGATCTCAGGAAAAGGTTCTTCCCCCAGAGGGTGGTTGGCACTGACCAGACTTCCCAGGGCAGTGGGCACAGCCCCAAGGCTGCCAGAGCTCCAGGAGGGTTGGATGATCCTCTGGGGCACAGGGGGGGATTGTTGGGGTGTCTCTGCAGGGCCAGGAGTTGGACTGATGATCCTTGTGAGTCCCTTGGATCAGGAGATTCCATGACTGGTGTAATTTGGTGTCTATCAAATGAGCCACACACTCAGTACATTTATCCCAGCTGAGAACAGACACCCTCTGCATGGAGCAGAGCCACTGGAACAGGCTGCTTTGGGATTTTCCAAGGTTTTTTTCAATCAGTGCAGTTTGTACCAGCTCCTCAGGCTGCACTGAGTGGCCACGACATTCTTTTTGACCCCTGATACCAAGTGTTACAAACCCCAATTAATGAATGAGTGGCTGAGGCAGAAACTATTCCAAGAGGAACAGGAAATGGGACATTCCCTGCAGTGCCTACCTGGACACCCTTCTCTGGGGACACCTGCACCAAGGGCAGCTCCCTGGGAGTTCCTGCCAGCGCCTGGAGCTTTGCCATCCCTCTCTGCCCGAGTTTTTTACTCAGGCAAGAACAAGGAAAGTTTTTGGGATGAACTTTCTCTCACAGTCCAGCTGAGTAGGAGGTTGTTTGTCAGACACTGGGGTGGCTGGTTGGTCTCCTCAACGCTGTCAGAAGATCTGATCAGATCCAAGAGGAGCTGCCTGTGCCCCACAGAGCTCCTGATTCCACACGTGTTTTGCGTGTGGGCTGAGCTGGGGGGTGTGAGGGGAGCAGGGATGGTTGTTCAGCTGCTGTTGGGGTTTTGTTATCGGTCACATGAAGGAGTTGCTCTCTCCTGGGCCTGCTGGCCTCAGAGTGTGTGCAGTTTGGGCTGCTTAGGGACTTTCTGTCCATGAAGGATTAATTTTACTATTGGCCAAAGTTCTTTTCTGCCCTAGAACCAGCCTAGTTCTCTCATTTCCACTCCCCACCTTTGTGACCAGCTCTCACCTCCTGTGTCGATAAGGTGAAATTTATGTCCTTCGGGACTAAAAAGGCAGGTGGGGGTGATGTTCAGCACCACCCAGATCCCTGCCTGTCAAAGGGAATCTCCTGTTTCAATTGTACAACTCAAGCAATGCTGGTTCAGCAAGAGTTGAGACTAAAGACCAAAATAAAAAACAGCTGCTAAAATCCAACTGCTCGTGCTGTTCGCTGGGAAACTCTTTGATCTTTCCAGCTACAATCCATCCTGCTGGATCCACAGCATCCTCATTAAGAAGGATTATTATTGCAGGACTTTTACAGCTTATCTCATTAAACTTTAATCTGTGTTTTGTTGATCCAAGGAGTTAACACTTCCTAAAGGCAATAAGAATGACAATTCTGTTCACATTTTACCCCCTCTGCTTCTGATAACTCCTAGCAGTTTTTAGAAGCCTGAGATAAGTTCATACTCCTCATTACTTGTATTGTTTTGCACTACAACACATGCATTTTGTCTATGCCACTGTTTACATCTGAGCTCTTATCTTGGCTGTTCATTATCTGACTGGAAAATCCTGCTCTCAGTGAACCTGTCAGCACTTTATGGCCTCTGCATCCCATAGAACACCCTCCTTTTCATCCTGCATAGATTTTGGTTAGAGCAGGGTTGAGTTTGCAGCAGATCTGTTTGCTTTTGCCAAGCTGACCTTAAATTACTCCGTCCTGTCTGGCTGAAACTTTCTGCTTCGCTTTTCCTGCTCAGCTGAAAGTGCTTCGTGTGACAGCTGAGTTACAGCTGTCCTGTTATAAAATATCACAGTGTAAATGTTATTTAGAACAGGATTAACTTGGCTATTTTTCTAGGTATGTTTTATAGGGATAGAGGGGAGAATTTGACAGTGGGAATGCTCCCCAGGAGCTCTTTCTCCTGCCAGAGCTCGTCTCTCAGGGAGCGTCAGGGGAGGAGTCTGTGGGTGCTGGAGCATCAATTATTGTGTGATTTCTGCCCCTGCTCCAACTGATTTGTAATCACCCCATAAAAAACCCCACAGGGTGTTCAGTAGGTGAGTTGTGATCCCCCTCAGAGAGCAGCTGGGGGTCCAGGCACCAGCTCCCAGCTAAAAACAGGGATGTGGGGGCTTTGGATCCGAAGCTCTAAGGCAGTGCAGGAAATTTATTCTAAATTATTTTTTAAAAAATATAAATCTATATTAAAAGAACTGGTTTTTGAGGTTAAACAATCTTGTGTGTCCCTTGCATCCTGTGAG